TGATAATCCTGAGTATAGATGTACAGTGACATAGTGAACCGCTTGTGTGTGGGTGACAGTGTGGGCCATTACCAACAGTGAGTTACTGAATGTCGATTTATGCCCATGTGCGTGCATTGCTGGCAGATACATTTGTGAAAAGAAGATGAAGCCTTAAGACTGTAATATGTGTTGCTCCATTGCTCTCCCAGATGGCCAGAGATATCAGCAGAGTGTTCATTTCCTTCCCTGTCAGGGGCTTGTACAATCTTAATCTTTTCAGTTTTGACCTTGAGATTGCAAAGTGTTTTTTTTTTTTTTTTTTTTGAGAATGCTCAAGTTGAGCCTCAGTAAATCAGGAAAAAAAAATCTTATAGTGACTCTGTGAGGTGTAGTCATCTATCTCCTGATTTACAGTGGTTGAGGAGGTGTAGAGAGATTGGCTCTTCTAAGACTACTCAGCTGATACTCAGACTGTGGTGTTGTAATCCTGTATCATAATTCTGTTTCCCTCAGGGAATGGAGATGCTCATTTGGTAAATAAAATGCCTGGTACAAAAGCATGAAGACCCAAACACCCACATAGAAACCCAACATGAAGTTTCATGTCTGTAAGCTTAGTACTGGGGGATAAAGAGAGGAGTGGATTTCTGGAGTGCACTGGGCAGCCTGCCCAGCTTTGTTGATGAGCTCCAGGTTCAGTGAGAGGCTGTCTCCAAAAATAAGGTGCAGAACTAACTCTTGAGAAAGATACTTCAAGTAACTTCCTAGCATTAACATAGACTTTACGTACACTTGCACATACATGTGTACATATCTACGCACACATATGTATACATATATTTGCCACACACACATAAATATGCAAATGAAAAATAAAAACAATTCTCTCAAAGAGGAATTAAATATATAGCCATGAAATGAGCTATTTCATAGAAATATTGAGAAACCATTCCATATACACCATCAACATAATGGGTGTTTTATCTCATTTATGTTGTATTGAATTTTCTGTTGTAACAAGGCAGATGTGGGTGGTCATTAAAGTCATTGTCATTTTACAGAACATATCAGCAAATGGCTTAAACTTTGGTTTGTCTTGTGGTGCTGGTGATCAGTTGCTTTAAGGCCTCCACCTCTGGGCTGCACCACCTAATCCCACTCCAGCATGGACTGTGTTTTTGTGAACTCCTCACTCCCCGAAACTGAGCTTGTGAGATGATGACCATGGACACATAGCTTTTCAAATTCTGCATCATGAAGTAAAATAAATTAAAATGAAATACACAGTTTCTTAGCTTCTATGGCCATTCCCTGGTGTTCTGGGCTGTAGGTGCCACCATTTTGAATGGTGCACAATTGTATTTCTGTTAGCATGGAAAACTGTGGTAGAAGAAGGTCATCCTGTGCAGTGCAGAGGTGTCATAGCCCTTGTGGGGTTAAGCCTCCCTCTGCCCATGTGGTGGCCTACTAGAGTGACAGCAGTGTAGTACTGCATCTGGGGGTCTTCCCCATTGTCTCCTGAGCCTCGGCTACTACCTTTAGGATCCAGCTGCTCATTGCGATTTTTAGTAGTATTCAGATCAACCACCATCTTACCTCGTTAATAAACTAAGATTAAAGAGATCTGGAGACAGGAAGGCTGGATTTTACACTTTCTGTATATTTGTTTGCAAAACCCATCTGTACACCATTAAATTTTGATTTATTGGTTTTGTGCATCGAGGAAGGAGGCTGTTGGTGCTAATCTCTCTCATGGCTGTATGCTTATGTTGCTCTGTCTCAGTCTTTTAAAGATTCCTGCCGCAAGTTCTATGAAGCAGAGATGGAAGAGCTGGATTTTCAGGGAGATACAGAGCAGTCCCGACAGCACATCAACACCTGGGTGGCCAAAAAGACAGAAGGTGAACACAGAGTCGATCTGTTCTGTGTGTTTGTTTTCAGAGCTGGGGTTTGAACCCAGGACCTGAGCATGCTGAGCAGGACCTTGCCACTGAGCTAAACCCCAGTCCCTGTTAGGCAGTTAGCCTATTTAAAAAAATGGTACATTTGTTGGTTTGTTTATTGTGTGCTTGTGTCTATCTGTGCAACCTGCACTCAGGACAACTCACAGGAGTTGGTTTTCTCTCTACCACTGGGTCCTAGGGATTCTACTCAGTTCTTCAGGTGTGT